TCCTCGCCCCCCTCGGCAGAGACCCTGCTGCCAGCCCTGCCCCTGAGGAGCTTCCCGCCGCGGGCCAACTGCGGGCCCCCCGGACTCCCGGAACCCGCCTTCCTCCCCGACGCCGAGCAGTTCCTGATCTAGGCCTGTGGACCCGGCCAGGCCAGCCTCCTGTCCAGCCCTCGGCCCCTGCCCGGTGCAGACGGTTCTCCCTGAAGACCCCACACGTGCCATAACCCTGTGGGCAGGCGCCTCCCACGCCTAGGCCCCTCCTCAGCTCCCAGCCAGCACCCAACCATGTCCAGCCCCGTGGCCACCCTGCCCACGTGGGCCTCTGGCCCAGCGCCTGCTGTGGCCGCTGCCAAGGGCGAGCCCTGGGGCATGCACCCCGCCTCCTCTCCATCACTGTTACTTTTGTCTTTAGCTTTAAAGAGTCGTTTGTGCCATTGCAGCAGCCCCTCCAGGGCTCGCCGAAATGCCTCCCTTGTGGAAGGGCCTGCCCAGCCCCTCCAGGAGGCCCGGTGCACTGACCTGTCCTATCCCGGTGTGCTGGGCAGAGGGAGAGAGGCTGGCCGTGGTCATTCAGTGCCAAATGCAGAGCTGGGGAGGGCTCGGTTGTCGCTGGGACTTTGGAGGAAGGCAGGGCTCTTGCCCTGGTGGCTCCCACCTGACCCCAAGCCTGGAGCCTGGGGCAGGCAGGTGGTGCGTGGAGACGCTTGGGGCAGGGACCCCACTGCTTTAAGGCCTTGGTGCCAACACAACTGCCAAACCCATTGAGCTTGGGGTTGCCCCAGTGGGACCCTAGTGAGCGTGGGCCCTGGGGCTAGCCTGGAGTTGGGGCTGTGTGCACAGGTGCGCACAGGTGGGGAGACACGTGCGTCCATGGAGTGAGCCCAGGCACACCTCCGTGCCGCGCTCTGAGGAGCTGCAGAGCATGTCCCGGCGAGGCACCTTGGGCCTCTGCACTGGGCTTTTCTGGTGGGGCTGGGGGCGGGGCTGGGGGCGGCCCTTCCAGGTGGAGGCGAGAGCTGGACCAAAGCGAGTGGGAAGCAGGTTGCCAGGAGCTCCCGCCCGGTGCCTAGACAGCACGGCCCCGCCGGCCTCGCCCCATCCTCCTGTGGGCATTAAGTGGGCAGCTGCAGCCTCGTGGGGGTGGGGGCAGGGACGGGCCCCCGGAACGGTTGTGTTTTCTCAGGATCCTCTCAGCTGGGAACATGACAGGTGGGCAGAGCGTGGCCCCTCTGCTGCGGCCCCCCCACGCCCGGGCGGCCAATGCTGGAGTCTCTAAGCCAAAGAGCCTGCTGGTGGCCAGGTGAGCTCCACAGCCCTCCTGTCACCTGCGAGAGTGGGCCTGGGCAGGGCCCAGCTGGGGGGAGGAACGTGCGGGGCCCTGTTTACACTAGCTGGCCGAGTCCCTGCGCCTCTGCCCTGCAGCCCGCCTGACGTTTACAGGTGCGGGGTGGCGGGTGTCCCCGCCTGTCCCCAGCCCCAGAGCCTGCTGTCCACACGGAGGAGGTGCTAGTCCAGCCTCACCCGCCCCTGCATGCCCCACACGGCTGCCCACAGCCTGCCCTGGCTCCTGTGGCCCTGTCCCCGGCCCAGAACCTCCCCCACACCCGCCCTCGCAGTCGTCACACACTTTCTTTCATCCTCCAATGCGTGCTCCTCCCACGTCGGTTCTTCGTCCCTGCCCTGCCCGCCTGTGACTTGGGATCAGTAACTTATTTGGCTTCCCGGAGGTTTCACTGTACGTTTGTTCTCAGGTGGTCTCGTGGATGTCTTTCAGAAAATGGTTATTTTATATGATTTGTCATGGAATTTGTTCTAATAAATCATTCTTCTATCACATGGCAGCACACTGGCGTCTGTCGCCTGGGCTTTGCTTGTCCTTCCATGGTGTGTGGGGCGGGTGGGCCAGTGCCGGGGGTGCCACGCCGGTCCCCTGCCCTGCGGGAGGCGACGTCCCCGTGTGCGGGGTCCCCTGCCCTGCGGGAGGCGACGTCCCCGTGTGCGGGGTTCCCTGCCCTGCGGGAGGTGACGTCCCCCTGCCCTGCGGGAGGCGACGTCCCGGTGTGCGGGGTTCCCTGCCCTGCGGGAGGTGCGACGTCCCCGTGTGCGGGTTCCTGCCCTGCGGAGGCGACGTCCCCGTGTGCGGGTTCCCTGCCCCTGCGGAGAGGGTGAACGTCCCCCTGGCCCTGCCGGGGAGCGACGTCCCCGTTGTGCGGGTTCCCTGCCCTGCGGAGGCGACGCCCCGTGTGCGGGGTGGGGGAGGTGGGGTTCTCCTGCCCTGCGGGACGTCCCGAACACAGTGCTGCAGTTCCGGGCTGCGCCGCCAGGGGGCAGCCAATGCGCAGACGCGCCGGGCGAGTTTCCAATGTTTGCCTCCTCGGAAGGAGACCAAGTTCTCAAAACCCTCCGGCCCACGTGAGGAGGAACAAGGAGGGACGCCCGTTTCCTGCCCGCCGCACTGTCCCCTCACGCAGGACCCTGCGTTGCTCGCGCCACCGCCACCGGGGCCTGAGGAGACCTGGGAGCCTGGGGGCCTGAGGAGCCCCGGGAGACCCTGGGAGCCGGGCGGGGCCTGAGAGACCGGACTGGGGGACCTGAGGAACCGGAAACCGGGAGCCAGCGGGAGCTGAGGACACCCGGAGAGCCCTGGAGCCCGGGCGGGCCTGAGAGACCCCAGGGAGCCGGGCGGGCCTGAGAGACCCCGGGAGCTGGGCGGGGCCTGGGAGACCCCACGGGAGCTGGGCGGGGCCTGAGGAGCCCGGAGCTGGGCGGCCTGAGGAGACCCCGGGAGCTGGGCGGGCCCTGAGAGACCCCGGGGAGCCTGGGCGGGGCTAGGAAACCCCGGAGCCTGGCGGGGCGGCCTGAGGAGACCCGGAGCTGGTGGGGCCTGAGGAGACCTGGGAGACCCTGGAGCCAGGCCAGGACTGAGGGACCCCGGGGACCCCTGGAGCCGGGCGGCCTAGAGGACCCGAACCCTGGGAGCCAGGCAGACCTGAGGAGACCCCCGGAGACCCTGGGAGCCAGTGCAGGAAACCGAGGAGACCCGGGAGACCACTGGACTGGGGGGGCTGAGGAGACCGGGAGCTGGTGGCGCCTGAGAAGAACCGGGAGACCCTGGAGACGTGGTGGGCGGCCTGGAGACCGGAGCTGGTGGGGCCTGAGGAACCCGGTGAGACCCTGGAGCCAGGCAAGACTGGGAGCAACCAGAACCCTGGGGAGCCGGCCGAGGCCTGAGGAGACCCGGAGCGTGGTGGGGCCTGAGGAGACCCGGAGACCCCCAGACGCAGGCAGACTGAGGACACCCGGAGACCCGAGCCGGCTGGACTGAGGAAGACCCGGGACCCGGTGGGGCCTGAGGAGACCCGGAGACCCGGGAGCGGGCGGGGCCGAGGAACCCCGGGAGGCCCTGGAGCCAGGCGGAGACCTGGAAGCCTCGGAGACCCTGGAGCCAGGCGGTACCTGAGGAGACCCCGGGAGACCCCGGAGCCCAGGCGGGACCTGAGGAGACCCCGGGAAGACCCTGGAGCGGGTGGGGCCTGAGAGACCCGGAGACCCGGGAGCCGGGCGGGGCCCTGAGGAGACCGAGGACCCCCGGAGCCAGGCGGAGACCTGAGGAGACACCCGGAGACGAGCCAGGCGGACCTGAGAGAACCCGGGAGGCCCTGGAGCCAGGCGGAGACCTGAGGAGACCTCGGGAGCCCGGCAGGCCGTGGACACCTTGCCAGGCGCGAGCAGAAGACGGCTGCCAGGCGGCTCACCACCCAGCCCAACCGGTCTCCTGTTGCATGTCCCACGGACCTGGAGCCCCCGCCCGAGGCCACAACGTCGTGCTCGCCGCCTCTGGCCAGCCTAGCCAGACCTGTCGCGCCGCCCGCGGGAGGCCGCGCGATCGTCCGGCTCATGGGATCCCCACTCCTCGCCCCGAGTGACGTCTGCTAGAGGAGGAGGCCGCAGGCGTCCCTCCGTGGATCCACGCATGACGTTGCAGGGAGCGTGCAAGCGAGCGCGGGTGTCCGCCTAGAAGGGAGCGACACAGGGCTCCCGGCGCAACAGCCCAGCCTGGCGCCTCAGGAGGAGGAGGGTGGACCCGG